CGGCAGATCTGGCTCCATTGTGGAACGCAGAGAGAGTGCGCCTCTGCCCCTCAGTTTTGTCATTTTTCTGGAGCGCCGGGTTCTGGATTCATCCCTTTCTTCTCAGCAACGGATCATTGCAGGGGCTTTTCTGCTTTGCATTTTTGCATCCCTCCGCTTCTCGGATGCATTATGGTGCCCACCAGGGCGATTGTCCATCACGGGGGAGTGTCTTTTGGGCGTGTGCCTCGGCGGGCGATGCCATTTGGGGCTCTTGCCGGTGGTTTTCTCCATCGTGGCGCTCAGGGGTGGGCACATGCATGGTTGCATCTTGTGCAGGTCTCGTTGCAAGCCACCGCGATGCTGCATCCCAACTTCACACCCGATTTCATTCTGGCTAGGTTGGGAGCCGATGCTAGCCAGCCACTGTTTCTTGCACCTATGTCGCGGCCGGAAGGCATTGTACTCCTTCGGCAGCTCTTCTCTACGTGCTATTCACAAACGCCTGCGTCGACCCGCCCCGAGGCTGACCTGCTGGGGGTCCACTGGCTTAAAGTCACTTTCTTAAGCTATGGGCGGCAACTTCTCATTCGCGAAGACCTGCAGCGTCAGCAAGGACATCACCGTTCTTCTCTGGCCGGCATGTCGGATCTTTATGGTCGTGATGACGTTGCTGGTCCATTGGAATTTCAGCGCCAAGTGGTCGGGGCTGTCCTTGAAGGGTTTCGTCCCCGCCGACCCCGTCTGCGAGGAGGGCTCCCTCCTACTGTGGACGTCGAGGTCGCTCTGCCTAGCGTTCCAGGAGCATCGGACATGCCGCCCGTCGGCTCCAACCCGGTGCCTCCGGCTGAGCATGACACATCCAGCGAATCAGAGGCTGAGGATACACGGTCGGCTTCCCCGATTCCATTGCCTCCGCCCACTCAGGAGTTGCCTGAGTCTGTTACGGAAGCATTGTCCATGACAATGGAGCCTATTCCTCAGGATGCTTCATCTTCCTCTGGCGTGGCTGAGGAGTGGACGGATGTCAAGGGTCACGCCGACGAATTCTTCTTTCTTCTGAATGGTGTATCCCACATAGCTCATAAAGCTCAGCCATGCAGCACGTCTCACCCTGCATTTCAGGTCAAGGTGCCGCACCTCAAGCTTTCATTGCGTGCAGGCTGCAGTGTTCGTGGTGTCGAGTCACTTCAATTTTCTGAGTTCGTCCCTGAGGGTTTTCGCATGTGCTTAAAGCGCGGCTGCCTTCTGGACTGAGCTCACGTGTTCTGCACCTACCCTCGTGGCGTAAAGAGCTCACGCTTGTGCTCATGCATTTGGCAGTTGGATACATTACGCCTTGCCATCACTTCTGCTGAGCCTCTGCTTCGGGTGCGGGTTCACAGGACATCATGCTTTGCATTTAGGTCCCTATGACGTCGCCTTGGATCCATTGTTTTCTGCTGCCGTCATGGACAGTTCCTCCAGCTATGACAGCGAGTCGGCCAGTACATCCTTCTCATCGGAGATTGAGCTGTTCCTGGAGGCTCCCGCCGCAGATTGGCAACCTGTCCTCCGCATTCGTCCGAGGCATTTTCATGCTCCTCGGCTTGATTACATTCTCTGGTTCAGTACGCGCACAGAAAGAGCTATTCTCATGCGGGAGGAGATCACCATTTGGGAGGCTGCATGGGGCAGCATTGCCTTTAACCATCGTGTACTGCTTTTCTCTAATCAGCAGATTTGGCTTGCAGTTGCACTGGGCAATTGTGAGCTGCACCGCTGTGTGGCCACAGCTTTGTACTTATGCCCCTGATGTGGGCTTCATGGGCTGACTGCCTAAGTGCATTTGCCCTCAAACATGTCCTTTTCTCTGGAGTGAAGCCTGCTGCATTGGCGCACAAAGTGTTGCTTGTCGGCTATCTTTTGCACCACCTGCCTCTTGCTTTCAGACCGGAGGGGCACGCTGCACTCCAGGTGTTGCGGGCTGGCTGCATTGCAATACCCGTGCCGCAGCCCTTTTTTGCTTTTACGCCCGTGCAGGTCACTCTTGCCCTCGCTTGGTCCATCTCAAGCATCATGGCGGCTCCCCCTCGTCACGATGACCCGGCTTATTTTCAGAAGAGATGCGAGGACATGTTTCTTCCTGCAGGTTTGTTGGATACATTGGTCGACAAAGGCTTCAACTCCATGGCGCTGCTTGCCTTTGCCGTGCCCGACTCCGACTCTCTTGAGCACTTCATCGTGTCCATTGTGGGTCGCCCTCTTGGGTCTGATCCATCGGCGCCTCTGCTCACGGCAGATGCTGCGGCTCTTCGGCGATTATACCACCTCTGCAAAACCGAGTGTGCCGGGATTGGCCCCTCCACTCCCGCCTCCATTGTGCCAAATGCCTCCGGCAAGAAATCGCTGTCCAAGGAGGAGATAGCGGAGTTGATGCAAAAATTCATGAAGGCCTATCCATCAGAACTTGTTCGGGCGGATATTATGCCTTCATCTCCTTTTCTTATGGTTGTGCGCGAGCGTTTGGATGCTGGGCGGTTCTCCTGGATCCCCTGGAGGCTGCGTTCCTCTGCATCAGATGAGGAGCAAATCCTTGAGCGTCGTCGGCCTCGGACAGACGCAAAATTGCTGACTCGCCTCCTGCAAGAGGGTCAGCCTGAGGAAGAGTGCATTGCGTCGATCCCACAGTCCGGCCCAGTGGAGCCAATTGTGCGCCGTTTCTGGGACCTCCTTATGTACGCCATTGCCCTGAATGATGGGGCTCATCTTCTGCATCTCAGGAAAGCCGCGCTGAGAAGTTCCTCAGCCACGCCCTCGGATCGCAACATGCGCCCTCCGTCACTCCAGGAGATCGTTGAGGCGGACCGTGCTCTCTGGATAGGGGTCGCATCCATTCAAGCGGACCAGGGCTGGTCACTTACTGACGCTTTGGCGGAGATGATTTTTGCTCGTCCGGATGTCTACAGTGCCTTGGCCCCGAGGTTGAAGCCCCATACTCCACCTGCACCTCCTGCTGCATCGGGGGCCAACAAGCGCAAACAGCCTGCCTTGCCGCCTCCCCCACCACATAAGCAGGCCCGTCCTGCTAAGGCCAAGGCTAAGGCTACATCTAAGAAGGACGCTGCTCCCAAATTCTCCCTCAAGTCTTGGCCGGATTCCTGGGCTCGCACTGTTGAGGGTAAGGGACCTTGCATCCGTTTCCACACAGACAAGTGTCGCAATAAGTCTTGTCGCTTTTCCCACCTCTGCCCGATCCTCATGGGCAACAACACACCGTGTGGCAAGCCGCATCGTGCAGCGGACCATGCATCGGCTCCGCATTGACTAGACTCTGCATCGGGTCTTGGGGCTCATCTTGACTCTGCTCCTGCCACAGCGGGGTCAGATGCCCCTCCAGATTTTGCTGCACCATCGACACTCTCTGCTGAGGCACTTGCATCTCGTCTCCTTGACGATGCATCGGTGCCTTCATGCTCAGACATTTTGCTCCTGGCTGAGGCTCTTCTTCGCGAGTCACCTGACTTGGACAACCGGTTCGAATCTGGCAAATCTGTGTCGGCTG